ACTATATATATATATATATATATATATATATATATATATATATACTGCATGTTGAAATGCATTTTTATTACAAAGTATATGGAAAATATTTTTAAAAATACATTTCAAATATACTGTAAGTCTTTAAAAGTACAAATCTACATTTTTGGAATGCATTTACAAATATATGTAAAAATATATGTTAAAATGACTTTTTTATATGTTAAAAAATATCTGAAGAATATATTTTAAAAAAATATATTTTTAAAAATATATTGAATATGGCCAAAATGATAGCATTTCAAATATATGGCAATATATTTGGGAAGAATATTGTTAAATATATTTCAAATATATTTTTCTTCCATGTGGGTTGACACACCAGTGCTGAGATCTAGCTGTTAAACCAGCAGGTGACAAGGTCCATGCTTGGCAATCGCACTGGAAAACATAACATTTCAGGTCCAGTTTACTTCTAGTCTATTCACACTGTTTTCAATAATGCCTTGATGAAGAGGGCACTCTTGGACCACCCAAAACACATGCATCTTTTTAGATTGTACCCCTGACTTTTAGTGGAATAATGTTGTAACAGGAAGAAGGGTCAGCCGCACACCGGAGGATAGATGAATATAGTGTATATTTATTGATCCATAACACAAAACACCAGGACATGAATACAGGACCTGTTAACACGTTTCACACAATCTTGCGCTTAATCATAACAAAGAAAACAACAAAAGTGCTGTCTAATATAGGTATTAGTTAATAAAGAACACCTGTCCTAATCAGCACTCCTGAATCCTGAGGATACAGCTACTAATACATTGTAACAAAGCATATAAAACCAATGTATCAAAAACAGTGATCTCAGAGAACAACAAGAAAGGAGGAAAAGAAATAGGAAAGCGAAGTGGAATAAAAAAAAACAAACAAAGAAAGAGAAAAAAGAGGGCACTGTTGGACCACCCAAAATGCACGCAACTTTTTAGATTGTACCCCTGACTTTTAGTGGAATAATGTTGTATCTGGACCTCTTAGCAGTGGTGTGGCAATTCAGTTTATTAACTGTTTTACTGAGGCCTTGCTAGTTAATGAAAAAAATGCCGCAACCCATGGATCTTTGATTGCTTTCATGTTGTTTAGTTAGCTCTTTACCTTGCAAGCGTTGGCTACTGTTGTCTTATAGTGAACAGTTAATCTCAGCTATATCATTTTTAATATATTAATATGTTGTAATCCTATACCCCCTTAAGTGTTTCTTCAGAGTGCATAACTGTAATCTATGTCATCAATCCTCATAGCTAGAGTCCTCCATCACTTATTCATTTTGCTGCCCTTTGCAATATTCTTTCTAATTAAAGAGGACTGTGGAAATAACCTAAACTACATATTCTAGACGAGGATCTACCATTGTTTTGTAAAGGTGTTGAATGATTTATATATGGAATGTATGCAATTTTTTTAATGCATGAGTAACCCACAGGCTTTAACGGTAACGGTAACGGTCTGTCATTGTATGCCATTGCAAAGTCTATGATCTGTGGCATGTTTTGGGTACACCAATATGGTAATGATTCTGTGTCTGCGGACACAGAGTCAGTATGTTGTCAAGACTGCAGACATATATCTGGTGTGTCAGTATGGTGCTGACTCTGTCTGCAGACATATATCTGGTGTGTCAGTATGGTGCTGACTCTGTCTGCAGACATATATCTGGTGTGTCAGTATGGTGCTGACTCTGTCTGCAGACATATATCTGGTGTGTCAGTATGGTGCTGACTCTGTCTGCAGACATATATCTGTGTGTCAGTATGGTGCTGACTCTGTCTGCAGACATATTTCTGGTGTATTAGTGTGGTGCTGACTCTGTCTGTTAGTATGATAATGATTCTGTGTCTTTGGACATTTTATGCTGAGTCCATACACTGCTGAGTCTGTCTGCAGACATATTTCTGGTATGTTAGTATGATAATGATTCTGTGTCTTTGGACATTTTATGCTGAGTCTGTCTACAGACACATTTCTGGTGTGTCAGTATGATACTGATTTTTTCGGTCTGTGGTGTGTCAGTATGGTACTGACTCTTTGTCTGCGGGACATGTTTTGGGTGTGTCAGTACGCACTGACTGTTTGCAGGGCATGTCTGTGGTGTCAGTATTGTACTGAGTCTTTGTCGACATGTTTTTTGATGTGTCAGTATGGGACTTATCGTTTCTCCACAGGCATATTTCTGTTGTGTCAGTATGTTACTGTTTATGTCATCATGGAGATTTCTGCAGAGATGACTCTGGTTGTTAATGTTATATTCATTCAGATTCCAAAAGTGCGAACATTATTTGGATGTTGTAATATTTAAAAAAAATTGTAAACTAGTTTTGTATGCTGTATGCTTTGTGTATTTATATTGAGAAGTAAGGTACCAGGGGGAGGATGACAGCTAACACCAGTTAGCTGCCAAGGGCAGTATACACTCACTGGTCCTAAAAAGAAAATATAACCAATGAGCGGCAGTTCTGTGGACAAAAATGCCTTGTTGATGTCAGAGGTCAGAGAAGAATGGGCAGATTGGTTCCAGATGATAGAAAGGCAACAGTAACTCAAATAACCACTCGTTACAACCAAGGTATGCAGAATACCATCTCTTAATGCACAACACGATGAACCTTGAAGCAGATGGGCTACAGCAGCAGAAGACAACACCGGGTGCCATTCCTGTCAGCTAAGAACAGGAAACAAAGGCTACAATTCGCACAGGCTCACCAAAATAAGACAATAGAAGATTGGAAAAATGTTGCCTGGTCCAATGACCCATGAGTTTCAGATGCAACATTCAGATGGTAGGGTCAGAATTTGGTGTAAACAACATGAAAGCATGGATCCATCCTGCCTTGTATCAATGGTACTAGCTGGTGGTGGTGTAATGGTGTGGGGATATATTCTTGGCACACTTTGGGCTTCTTAGTACCAATTGAGCATCGTTTTAACACCACGGCCTACCTGAGTATTATTGCTGACCATGTCCATCCCTTCCACACACAGATTAGTCAAAATTCTCATAATAATTTGATGTAATATACTGTAGACGATGATATATTATAGTCTTTGCAATTTTACATTCAGGAATATTATTTTGAAATTTTTGGACATTTCTTAAATGCCCAATAGAGTTTAGGGTTTGTAGGTTGTGCTCTTATCCAGCTCAGTCAATAGGTCAACAATCTGCCAATGTTTTGTCTGTGACTATGGAAAAACTAATAAATAACACTTATAATCAGGGGCGTAGCTGCAGGGGTCACAGTGGTCACAAATGCGACCTGTGCCGAATGTGTGCGTGCAAATTTTGAAGCCAAGCAGCCAGAATAGGAAAGGTGCAGCATGTTGATCGATCCATCCATTCACTGTGAGAGAAGTCTCTCCTTCCTTCTCTCTACAGCAGTGGTTCTCAACCTTTCTAATGCCGCGACCCCTTAATACAGTTCCTCATGTTGTGGTGACCCCCAACCATAAAATTATTTTCGTTGCTACTTCATAACTGTAATTTTGCAGTGGGAGGACTAGTGCCACATCATTGGTGTCAGTGGAAGGAGTAGTGCCCCATCACTGATGTCAGTGGGATGAATAGTGCCCCATCGTTGGTGTCAGTGGGAGGAATAGTGCCCCATCGTTGGTGTCAGTGGGAGGAATAGTGCCCCATCGTTGGTGTCAGGAATAGTGCCCACATCAGTTGGTGTCAGTGGGAGTGGAGAATAGTGCCCCATCATTGGTGTCAGTGGGAGGAATAGTGCCCCATCGTGGTGGTGTCAGTGGGAGGAATAGTGCCCCATCGTTGGTGTCAGTGGGAGGAATAGTGCCCCATCGTTGGGTGTGCCCCATCGTGGGTCAGTGGGGGGAATAGTGCCCCATCGTTGGTGTCAGTGGGGGGAATAGTGCCCCATCGTTGGTGTCAGTGGGGGGAATAGTGCCCCATCGTTGGTGTCAGTGGGGGGAATAGTGCCCCATCGTTGGTGTCAGTGGGGGGAATAGTGCCCCATCGTTGGTGTCAGTGGGGGGAATAGTGCCCCATCGTTGGTGTCAGTGGGGGGAATAGTGCCCCATCGTTGGTGTCATCGTTGGTGTCAGTGGGGGGGGAATAGTGCCCCATCGTTGGTGTCAGTGGGGGGTGTGTCAGTGGGGGGAATAGTGCCCCATCGTTGGTGTCAGTGGGGGAATAGTGCCCCATCGTTGGTGTCAGTGGGGGGAATAGTGCCCCATCGTTGGTGTCAGTGGGGGGAATAGTGCCCCATCGTTGGTGTCAGTGGGGGGAATAGTGCCCCATCGTTGGTGTCAGTGGGGGGAATAGTGCCCCCCATCACGTTGGTGTCAGTGGGGGGCCCCATCGTTTGGTGTCAGTGTCATTGGTGTCAGTGGGGGAATAGTGCCCCATCATTTGTGTGACTAATACCAACAATGGGGCACTATTTCTCCCACTGACACCAATGATGGGGCACTATTTCCTCCCCCCCCCCACACTGACACCAATGATGGGGCACTATTCCTCCCCCCCACTGACACCAACGATGGGGCACTATTCCTCCCCCCCACTGACACCAACGATGGGGCACTATTCCTCCCCCCCACTGACACCAACGATGGGGCACTATTCCTCCCCCCACTGACACCAAGAATGGGGCACTATTCCTCCCCCCACCGACACCAACGATGGGGCACTATTCCCCCCCCTGACCCCAAAGATGGGGCACTATTTCCCCCTCCACCACACTGACATCAATGATGGGGCACTATTTCTCCCACTGACACCAATGATGGGGCACTATTCCTCCCACTGACACCAATGATGGGGCACTATTCCCCCCACTGACACCAATGATGGGGCACTATTCCCCCCACTGACACCAATAATGGGGCACTATTCCTCCCCCCACTGACACCAACGATGGGGCACTATTCCCCCCCCGACCCCAAAGATGGGGCACTATTTCCCCCTCCACCACACTGACATCAATGATGGGGCACTATTCCTCCCACTGACACCAATGATGGGGTACTATTCCTCCCACTGACACCAATGATGGGGCACTATTCCCCCCACTGACACTAATGATGGGGCACTATTCCCCCCACTGACACCAATGATGGGGCACTATTCCCCCCACTGACACCAATGATGGGGCACTATTCCCCCCACTGACACCAATGATGGGGCACTATTCCCCCCACTGACAAATGATGGGGCTCTATTCCCCCCACTGACACCAATGATGGGGCACTATTCCCCCCACTGACACCAATGATGGGGCACTATTCCCCCCACTGACACCAATGATGGGGCACTATTCCCCCCACTGACACCAATGATGGGGCACTATTCCCCCCACTGACACCAATGATGGGGCACTATTCCCCCCACTGACACAAATGATGGGGCACTATTCCTCCCACTGACACCAATGATACTTACCTTGCTGACCCCTGCTCCAGCCTGGGCTCGCTCTCTCACTTACCTGTCAGCTGTCTTCCTTCTCTGGCCGCTCTCCTCTTCACTTACTCCGGCAGTTCCCTCGATCTTCTTAGATCTACGCGCGCTGCCGCTCGGCTCTCCTCCTCTCCAAGCTCCACCTCCTCGCCGGTGATTGGCCGCCTGTGTGCCTCTCCTGAGCTACAGTTCCGGTGGCCAATCAGCGGCGAGGAGGCGGAGTTGTTGAGGGATCCGGAGGTGTGGCCAGGTGACAGCAGCGTATCATCCCGCCCACACATCGACTGAGTCAGAGGAGCGGTGTCTCGATTCCTAAGACCATCGGAAATATGTGTTTTCCGATGGTCTTAGGCGACCCCTGGGAAATGGTCGTTCGACCCCCAAAGGGGTCGCGACCCCCAGGTTGAGAACCGCTGCTCTACAGCCTCTCAGTGAGTACTCTGATGTAAAGGGGGACTCTGCAGATATAATTCTTCCTTTATTTTTCTTTTCCTTTCTTCTCCTCTTTTCTTTTCATTCCTTCCCTTCTCTTCTTTTTTTTTCCTTCACTCCCTTCTCTGTTCTTATCCTTCCTTCCTTCGCGCTCTTTTTCTTTTATTTTCCTTCCTTCCTTTCCTATCCATTTCTTTTTTTCCTTATTTTTCTTTGCCTTCTTTCCTTTTTTTCTTCTTTTCCATTTCTTCTTTTTCCTTTTTTTTTTTTCTTTCTTTCTTTCCTCCTTTTTTTTTTTTCTTTCTTTCTTTTTCTTTCTTTCTTTCTTTCTTTCTTTCCTTTCTCTTACACTTTCTTCTCTTCTCTCTTTTCCTTTCCTTTCCTTCTTTCTTTTCCTTACCCTTTCTTTCTTCTCTTTTTTACAGAAGACAAAACCTTGGCAGATCGTTGACTTAGTAAATGTGCTCGATGATAGTTAATAGTTTTGCCACAAAAAGTGCAAAAGGCATAATCCTTGCCTAGAGAACTTTTCCTTATAAATGCATATTTAGGTTATCCATCATGGCCAGATCTAGGGGGGTGCTGGGGTGGCTATGCCCCCCCAGATTTCAGTTGCACCCCCCCAAGGCCATCAGGTCCCCCACCCCTGCCCCCAGGGCTGCTGATAAGGGGACACATTCAGACAGGGTCCCATAAGGTCTGCGTCATGGAGGCTGTACATAAGATTGCCAATATACTCTTTTAATAAGAGATCGCCTGTATTGTAATATATGTCCTCCTAGGCCACCCGCATAGTAAGATAGCTGTCTAGGACTGAGGAGATCTTGAGTGACATCAGGAGGGAGGGGCGTAGGAGCAACATTCAGCTACCCATTGGCTGAGGAGGCAGCAGGAAGCAGACGGCACCGCCTCCCTTTGCCTCTTCAGCCAATGGGCATATAGGTTGTGCTGTCCATCATCGCAATCAAGTCTTCATCCCGCAGGCTTGGTGGATGGATCGGCTCTGCAAAGATCTTGCAGTGATTGAGGGGAGTGAGGAGCAGGCATGAAGAAGAGTGTTTTAACCCAGCAGCTAGAACTTTTAGAACTGCCTGTGTAGTACATAGCTTGTACATCTCCCCCCCTTTAACACCAGTCACTGTAATGCTACCTATATTTCTGTCCAATGCTGCATAGGTGTCAGCTTATTGTCACACTATTAAAAGGACAGCAATATAGGTGGCATTGCAGTGACTGGTATTAGGCTAGGTTCACATTAGCCAGTGCTCTAAAAAGCAATCCATGGTGGATCGCTTTTTTTAGAGTGCAGCTAAGAAGCCATGGTCAGGCATTCAGGTGCTCTGGGGGCCCTGACATAAGGGGAGGGGGTGACTCTGGGGACCCTGATGTAAGGAGGGGAGCTCTTTAAACCCTGATTGTAAGGAGAAGATGGGCCCTGATGTAAAGGGGGACTCTGGGGACCTGATGTAACTAGGGAAACCTTGGGGACCCTCCTTTAAGGGTCAAAGCTTTGCTGAACAAGATGGAGTTAGAAGCTGATTGGCTACCATACACAGTTGCACCAGATTCTGAATGCTCCAGTTTTAGTAAATCCTCCCTATTGTGTCCTTTAAAACACATTAGGAGATGAACCATCTAATGGATGGTGAGATAAACTGCACCACGGTCCGAAAACAGTGGAGTAGATTATCCCCCAAACATCTTGCCTGCTGTATATTTTTGGATGATTTCTCCCTCTGTGCTATTTTTACAATGGGAAACTTTTTCTCTACATGGCTCAAGCAACCTCTGCCTCCACCTTTTCCCATTAATTTGGCTGAGCGTGGGATAAACAAGCATAGACATAGTGGCTAGGTTGCTGTGTTCATCGGGTACACAGCACAGTTACCTTGGCTGAATTATTGGATAGGGTATGACTAGCCTGCCTTGGTGGTATATTTTTAAAATTTGGAAATAATACTTTTGAAAAAACATTTGCATTAATTTGTGCAAACGGGTGCAAAATACAATGTCAGGCTATATTGTCTTCAATGTGGCCAATATTTCTCTTTGTGTTATGGCCACTAGATGGAGCTGACAATCATAGTATATAAGTATGAATTACAATCGTCAGCTCCATCTAGTGGACATAATGTTGTATTTTCATGATACAATTTAATTTGTATAAATGAAAAACATTTTACTTGGATGGAAATTAACATCATAACATTCTTTTTTTGCCACCATTCACACAGAACAAATGTACATGCAGTTTCACATAAATAATAGCGCTGGCATTTTTTTAACCACTTGCCCTCCAGAGGATTTACCCCCCTTCTTGATCAGGCCATTTTTTGTGTTACGGCGCTGTGTTACTTTAACTGACAATTGCGCGGTCATGCAACACTGCACCCAGATAAAATTTACGTCCTTTTTTCCCCATGAATTGTGCTCTTTCATTGGTATTTGATCACCTGTGCTGTTATTTTTTGCGCTATAAAAAACGACAATTTTGAGAAAAAAAAAACACAATATTTGGACTTTTTGCTATTAAACATGTCCGGTAGAAAATATTAAATCAAATTTAATCACAAATTTAAGCCAGAATGTATTCTGCTACGTCTTTGCTAAAAAAAGAATCCCAATGCGTGTAAATTAATTGGTTTATGTGAATGTTATAGCGTTTACAAAATGACGGTATAGATACTAGGATTTTTTTTTGCCTACTAGTAGTGGCGGCCATCAGCGACTTTTAGCGGGACTGCAGCGGGCATTCTGACATGGGGGGAGGGGTTAATGTGAGGGGCGATCAAAGGGTTAACTGTGTGCAGGGAGTGTTTTGCCCACGAATAGACAAATGTGTTCGTTTAGGAAAAATCTTTCATCTTGCTCCTTCATAGCTCCTTATCACTATGATTTTCTAATCATTACCCTACTAACAGGGGCGGACTGACAACTTATGGGGCCCCCGGGCAATAGGGGATCATGGGGCCCCTGTGTCCTCACCCACACTCAAACCACACCCAAAAAAGCCTATGAAAGATACCAGGGGCATCTCATGGGGCCCCTTACTGACCCCGGGCCCTCGGGCAGTGCACGAGTTTCTGAATGGTCAGTCCGCCCCTGCCCACTAATGATTAGAAAATCAAATGAACATTCCAAAAATGAAATATTGTGAACTTCTGCAGGTTTATTGCCAACCTTCTTCATGAAGCCCCTCTGTCCAGTCCCCATGACGCAGGAGGGTGTTTTGGCTAGATGTTTTCCTACCAGCCCAGTGCTTGCTCATATGTACACACATCATATTTACACACTAAGTACACACCTATATCACTGAGAGGATGCAAATGCTGACATTTGAGAATGACATATTCTGATTTTATGTATTTCATTTTACAATTAGAAAACTATCATATTGAATCCTTGTTTTATCTAAAGCAGAAATCCAGGAAACAATTTTTTGGCCCGTGCAGTGGGACTGTGCCATCACTGCCTGGGGCCAATGCTCATTTTGTTCTAGGGGAGAGGACACAGAAGATATACTTACCTGACCCGCCGATCCTCCTCGCACAAAACTGGTCCTTTTGGCACCTGCCCCCACGTCCTGTTCCTGACGTCAGCACACTCGGTGCACGCTCCACAGATAAGAACAGTCCACCGCTGGACCATGGGGGAGCACGGTTTTCCATAGGATTGGCGAATCAGGTGAGTATGAGCTTAGTTCTCACCCCTAGAAAAAACAAGCTGCCGATCCCTGCAGTAGGGGCACAACCCCAGTGCATGGTAAAAAAAACAGTTCAAACTGGAGTTCTGCTTTAAATTCTCTTTTTTTTGGACATTATCAGTAAAATGATGAATGCTTATAATTTAAAGGACCCTGTCCCCCACTTTTGTGTTCCCTTTGAGCATTGCTATTTTTTTCCATGTATCTTTGCATTTTATTAGTCTGTTGTTCCAAAGGTTCCTTCTTGTAAGTGAGACAAAACTCCTTTGTAGCACCCATGATGTCACTCAGCAGACTGAGTACTTCTACCCTGGGACACCGGGTGTCCTTACATGTGCCCATGAGATTGGCTCTGGTACATTTCCTCCATGCTGTAAAATATACACATGCCAATAAATGGTTTTCCAGCTTACGGCCCACACCATCCATACCTTCTCCTTACCTCCTCCTGTCGGGCCCAAGGTAAAAGAGGGACAGGGACATGTAGGAGCTACGTTACTCTCTGCTGTCTACCAAGTATTTCCAGTGGTGACAGAATATCTTTAAGGCTGAATTCTGTATAGGAGCTTCTTGTAATAAAGACCGCTCACTGCTCTCTCTCTCTCTGCTTGTGTGGGGTGACTGGTCTTGTCTCCGCCCCCTCCTCTAGTTTTCTGCAGACAGCCTATAGTGTGTGAGCCTGCTGGGGCCCCTCCCACAGCTCTGCTCTCTGTACAGGGAATGGACAGCACAGTGATGATGTCACTAATACCTTTACTAGGTATTATCTGGATTTGTAAAGGTATTTGGTGCACAAAAAAGAAATTTATATTCTTTTTGGCTTCTGAGGAATATATTTAAATGAAAGTCCCTGTGCCCCGAGTTTGGCTTTAAGGGTTATGGAAATGCTGTGTATTTTAAGCCAGCTCTGATTTGTAATGCAAATGAGCCTAGACTACTGGGATGACAAACGAAGAAAAGAACTCCACATTTTAAACCAGCAACTGGGAAGCATGCTGCTGACTTACACATCAATCCTCTCCAGCTTTCTGTTGCTAGGTGAGTAAAACACAATATATAGTGTACATAAAATGATTATTTCATATCACATGAATGTTGTAATTGATCCAGCACTCCCAA